CCCTCTTAGGAAGAAAAAGACAAGGCAGATTTGTCTGCCCACCTTGGCAATACTGGTCAGAAATGTACAGCAGGTTGTAATGTTTGACAAGATTTGGCATCTTATATTAGGTCATTGAAAACCTACAACCAACCTGAAGACTACAACTCTTCAGGTCAGAGAATACTTCACATTTTCACATGGATCCATCAGAGATGTCAGTCTCCCAAAACAGTGTACCTCAGGAACATTCTTGGTGTTAGCTGGAATTTAGTAAGTGCTAAGTTTTAATGGAATCTGCATCTTGGGTTCTAAAGCTGCCCAGAAAATGAAAGAGGAAATTAGTCAGAATATGTGTTAAAAGTGGGTAAGCCGCCTGCTATGGTGGGACTGTTGCTCTGTGGAAATGTGTAGAAAGGGACTGTAAAATTATTGCTGAATAATAACCAGAGGAAAAAAACATGATGCTTCCCAACACAGGACTTGTGGGGTTAATGCCAGCTCAGTGTGGTGCTTGTTTCAGTATTCATTAATGAGCAGTCAGCAGTATTCAAACTCAGAAGAGTAAATGGTTTAATTGGTGGTTAAAGTCAATCAAGTGCATATGAATTAATGTGAGAGTTCAGGGCTTATGTTGTGACATTCCATGAGTCATGAAGTTGATCAAGATACATGTAACTCAATGAATATGAAAGTAATGATGACACAGTGTGGAAGACTTACAAAGAGTTGGGGTTTCTTTCATTTATGTAAATTTTTTTTTTAAGAACTTAAATGCAATTACAGTAGAGCAAAAGTAGATAAAGGAGTTCCTCAGAAACAGAGATGAACAGTCCAGGCTCAACTAACTTGTAATTTGCATCGTTGAAGTTTCCATCTTGGACCAGACCCTCATAAAGATAGGCAAGAAGCAATGCCTGCTTTTGAAAACTTAAATTTAGAGATGGAATATGACAGATGGGATAAGACAGGGGAGCAGAGGGAAGCGGTGTGCTATTGGCTAAAAGAGGTATCATCACACTGATTAGCTTGGTCCTGATAAATGTTTTATAGCTATTGAATGAAAAGAACCTTTGTGGAAGGAATTGAAATTGGGGCTTGGTGGGTGTTGAGATAGAGTATGTCCCAGGCATGGAGGCAGAGAGAAAGGAAGCTTGGACGTGCTTGTTTTAGACAGTAAAGTGCAGCCCAGACGCTAGGCTTGAAGGACTCTCCAATTGCAGAGGTCAGGTTGTGGTTTGGACTGACTGGACAGGCCATGGTAGGTAGTGTGAAGAAAGAGCGGGAATGCGGTCATAGCTCTCAGGGACTTCCTGACTTCCTGCCGGGAGTCTGGATGGAGAGGAATCTGAGGGAGAGGCCGCTTCATTCATTTGTTTCTTACCTAGTAGTTCAGATTGCTGATCTCATTGGCAGTGTCTTTGCGCTGACCTAGGACCCAGGACCTAGGACAGCTTTTTTTTTTTTTACAAAAATATAAGTATATTTAATCAGTCAAGCTGATAATTATTAACCTATGAGCTTTCAGTATTATCATGTCTCTGGACTTTGCGCCTTCCTCCGCTATTGATAGCGAGGGGGTCATTCCTGAGCAATTAATCATTTAATTAGCCTTGACTTCTGAGCTACATAATAGCAATGCTAGCAACGAGACCGCAGAATTCTGCCACCGCCCCACAGTGTGGGGAGTGGGGGTGGTGGCAGGAGGAAGCAGACTGCCTACCCCTGAGAAAGCAAACTGTGCCAGCCTTGGGATAGCTGCAGCCCTACCACCTTCCCTCTGCCCTCCTAAGCTTCAGGGTGGCAGTTCAGTCATCCTCCCTGGCAATGGTCCTCCGACTGTCCCAAATTGAGCATTTGCCTTAGAATGAGGCTTCAAAGTCTCTTCTTGTCTTTGCAGTCAGCCAGCAGCTCTGACATGCAGCTTCAAGTGAACACAGATACATGGGAAAGGGTGAAGCAACGGGGAGAGGCGGGAAGGTCTCCAGGCTCTGCAGTTAAGCAAAAGTTGGTGAAAGGAACTACTTTTGCCTCAGAAAGACCACCGCAGCATGAAGTCAGCTCAACTGCCTGATTTAGCAGGTCACTGGATCCAGAGCTCTGCTGGTGGCCCAGGCATCCCTGGGGGGATGAGTGGCACATGAGTTACTGTCCTCTTTGGTACCTGAAGGTCTAGGCTTTGCTTGGCTTTTTGACAGTATTTGGCAGGCTTGTTCTGTCAGGAATGTAGATCCACCAAAGTACATTGCCTTTTGTGGATCAACACAAACTTGTCTCATATGGTATGCACTGGTGAAGGCTGTGAATTCTTAGCCGTGGTTATGATGTCTTGCAACGACTCTCTGGCAGCAGCTTTCCTGCATCTTCCCTGGCATCTCTCTCTTGGAACCACTTGGGACCTTCCTCTCCTCCCTTCTCTAGGGCCTCTGTAGTTTTCCAGATTTGCTTGGTCACTGCTGTGGTCTGCGGTGTTGTACAATAGTACTAAGTTAACAATTAACTGCTTGTCATCAGGGACCTTAGGGCAATCTCAGCAGTGGGTGTGTGGGGACTTTTATCCCAAACATCCACCTAGGAATCTCACAACCAGGCAGAGCGAGGGAAAGGAGCTGGTCTCTCTTCTCTCTGGAGTCATGTCCACAGCCCTGGATAAGTTCTGTGGCTCCGTCTTTTGGGTGAGTGACTGCGTTACTCCTGATCAGCCATCCTTGGGGCAGGACACTTGGTGAAGAGGGAGGTCACTAAATTGCAAGGCTCAAAGAATAAGCTTGCTTAGCCAGTGGATCCAAGAGCCAGTATTAAGCATAGATCCTACTATTTATGCCAAGCTTTACCTGGTACTGAGTGCGGTTCGCTGACAGGGCAGCCTGGGTGGGATCCGTGTTACAATGATCCAAATGGTAGTTCACCAAGTGAGCCTTGTCCTGCCTTAGCCCGGATACAAAGGCAGGGTACCCTCTAAGGAGAGACCGGCTTTTTGAGCTTTGCTGCTGTCTTGGCCTGAGGGAAGGGTGGTTGTGAGAGGATGGATCAAGAAGGGGACCATAGGTGGGGGCTGAAATGCTCAGCCAGGGACAGGAAGGTGGGTGTTGAGGAGGGGGATGCAATGGGGTTGGAAATAAAGAGAAAGAGAGCTTTAGGAGCACTGGCTCTTGTTCTGTGAGTCAGCTGAAGGTTGGGAAGTCGTGAATGACTTGGCTGTCTGTCCTTGTTTTCACCAGAATGACTCATTCTTCGCTCAAGCAGATGCCGACCTGCCGGTCTGCTTCCAGCAGACCGTGCTGGTCTGGATCCCCCTCGGCTTCTTGTGGATTTTTGGTCCCTGGCAGCTCCTGCCCATGTGCAAATCCAAAACCAAGAAATCATCTGTGACCAAACTCTACATCCTCAAACAGGTCGAGTGGTGCTGGGGGAGAGTGGAGAGCAGGCTAGGGCAGTCTAGGGTGGAGGAATGGTGAACAGAGAGAGCTGGAGATGGGTGCAAGATGGAGAGATGAGAGGTGCTGGAGAAGGGGAGCAATGAGATGGGGCACCATCTGGTACCAAAGACTACAGGAAAGCTGGGAAGAGATGTGTTGGATGGGGTAGGGGATGTTCTTTGAGGGTGGGCTCAGGTGTGTGTTGGGGCCTCTCAGCTGGTGGTTTGTAATGGGCTGTTGTGCTCCAAGCTTGAAATGGTGGCAGTGCTCATATGGAAGTGCTGTGAGGGTGCCTAGAAAGCTTTTCCAGGCTGGGTAGGGTTGGAGAGGATGTAACAGTATGTGAGGCTCAAAGCTGCTCCCCACAACTGTGTTCTCTCCTGTTGCTTCCTTGATGGGCTGGGTCTCTCCTCATGGATGCTTCCTTATCCACACAGGTGCTGGCAGTATTGCTGTTGCTGACGGCAGTGGCCGACCTGGCAGTGGCATTTGCAGAGGAAGCGAGGCACGAACATCCGCTGCCTGTCCAGTACACAAACCCCAGCCTGTACATTGCCACCTGGGTAAGGGATCGTCTGGAAAAACGGCTTCTCACCGCGGAGACAGGGTGTGAGACTGTAGGGCCAAGCAGCACCTTGAGCGTTGCTGAGCTTCAGCAACCTTCGTGCTTGGAGGAAGGGCCCAGACACGGGCACACAAGGCAGGATGGGGCAGTGGGCTGTGCGCTGCTATAGGCAACGTGGTAGACAAGCTGCTGAATGTAGGAATACATCTAAAAGGACTTGGCTGCTTGGCTGC